TTAAAACCAAAGCCATAACCAATGTGGAACAACCCAGGTCGTTGTATTACACAAAAGTTATACCTTTTTATTTTAAGAAGTTAGGTAACTAGAATCTAGGCTCTTCTTGAAAACTAACCATGAGAAACGTTGAGAGCAATTGGCATTACTTCCAAGGGATGAAGAGTAGGGTTCTTCATCCCACCATCAGTGATGAAGTTTTAATTAGAGTTTGCCAAGAACCAACTGTTCTATAACCTTGGAAAATTCCCACAATAAGGATTCTAGACATATACAGTTCACCGTATTAATGACATTTAATTGATGGTAGCTTTCATTTAAACTAATATTGGATTTTGCATCAACTCCCATGTTTTTTGCCCCTAATGTCTAGTTAATTCTATTGTGGTGCTTTAGATTGTCTCATGAAAATGTTGTTCTTTTAGCTTTTTGAAAATCAGATCATGCTCAAAGGTTATTTATCTTCTACAACTCTGATTATACTACTACATGCAGGATTTTTTTAAACTAATTCAGTGAGGTCTAAGAGTTATTATGGTAGTCTGTTAAAAACAGTTAAGGATTTTAGATGTTGGCTAGATATATTGTTACAGCAATATTTAGCTACTAACTTGGATTGAAGAAGTTTAATTGATTCACTACCTACAGAAATATCAAGCAGATTTCCATCTGATCTTTTGGCAAAATGGCAAGTGCTAGTTGCATCTGAACCTGTCATTTCAAGATCAGACACAATAACAAACTTGAAGCATTTGAAGCCAAGTGTTGATGCCCATAAGATGGATGACATTATTTCAGGTGATATTCTGGTTATTGTTAGTCAGATGCATGAGAATATCTAAATTTGATAACTTGTTACTTTGAATTCCTTCTTTGCATGTAAAATCACACTCGCATGTGTCTCTATTCAGAGTTTGTCCAGGAGGGAACATAATTTGTATTTCTCTTGTTCAAAATGGCAGAATGGTTTTTTGCATTCTACGGAGACATGCTTCATCCATATAGATTGACATATCAAACCCCCATATTTGGTGCACTAGATAGGAGTATTTAGGGCATCTTGATGAGACATTTCACTGGCATGTTTTGTGCACTTAATAGAAATTTCATCAACTCTGATTATGCTTAGTTTTAATTTGCAGATGGTCATGGAGAGGCTTCTGGGTTAACTGTATCTCCTCCTTGTGATCAGATAATTAATTCAGCCAAAGAAGCCATGAATACTGATGGTTCCTTCCGTCATTCAGCTTCCTATACAGATGAGCATAACCCTGAGATTACCATCAACAAAAAGGATACTGTCTCTCTGGTTCATAAACCAGAAGCTGTGGATGTTATGAAGAATGGGAAAACCCTGCAAGGTGCTATGTCTGATGATGGGAGCTCAGCTCTTTCCTCAAATTCTAATGGCTCCAATATCCATGCCAAAACTGCTACTGAACCTCCTATAGGCAGAAACACAGTCTTGTTGTGTAATAGAGTGCGGATCTATCCAAACAAATCTGATCTGGTTTTGCCTGAAGATGCAATTCCATTGCCTTGTAGTGATGATAGCTGGGTGGCTGTCAGCTTCGATTTATGAAGTCATGAAGGTAATTGCAACTTGCTAGGACCATCTCATGTCATGGTAATGTACTGTGTTTCAACAGAGTTTTTAACTGTGTTACTTATGGCAGGTGGGTTTTCAGCATGATGACGTGTTTTTGGAACATCTGCAAATTTTATTCATGGTGATCAGATTTCGGCGCAGGATTTATACAAATGTGTGTTTATCGTTTACATTTCACAGGCAGATTTGTCTGATGCTGTGATGTTAATGGGTTGTCAGTTGGTCATCAAACTTACAACAAGAGGCCTTTCCTTATATTAGATTTGAAAGTTTAACTAGAATGGGTATAGAAATCTGAATTTTCATGTTTGATCTTTAACATTTCATGGAAAAGTGGGAAAGATGAAGACATACTTATTACTCCCTCTACCTAATGTTCATCTTTGCAATGGAATGGAATTAAGTTCTTATGCCACAAGCATCCCCTGTTTGTTTTTTCTTATTAAAATGATTAATCTATCTAAATGTTTGATGTTCCAAATATGATGCTGTGAGAAGATTATTGATCTTTAAAGTTAGACTATAAAAGGCTACCTTTACTATTAGTAGAAAATTATGAACACTTGACAATCATATTTTGTAGTCAAAATCAAACAAAAAATCTTTTGGGTAACATCAAGAGATGTAGTAGTTTAGTCATAATTAGATAAAAACAGTTAAATTACATTTTTAATTTGGTACAAATCAATAAATAATTTTGGATGAGATATTTGGAATTTTCAGATGCAGGTAGCCAAAATGAATGTATTCTCTCAAGTAAAATATCTATATTTAATCTATTCCTTTAAATTTAATTTTAGTGTGTGTATATATATATATATATATATATATATATATATATATATTGTCGCCCTGTGCAAGGATATGTTTGTAAAAGCACACTTCCCTATCACTCCTAATTAAGACGAGTAGAAAACATTTCAATTCCTCCCGAAACAAAAGCATTTCTGTTTTGAGTTTCTTGATGCGGTTTGGGCCGGCTACGCGCTCGGCCGCCGCCTTCAAACCCCGTGTCTCCCTCACCTCCGACGCCGGTCTCCGCCATCGCCACCACCCCGTCCTCTCCCGCCTCCCGACCTCCCCTTCCCTTCCCCACCTCCTCCAAGCCCACGCCCGGCTCCTCGTCCTCGGCCTCGCGGCGCACCGCGCCGCCCTCGCCCACCTCCTTGCCCTCTGCGCCGCCCTGTCCCCCCCGGCACCCCCGCGCTACTTCCGCCTCCTGTACGCCGCCATCGCCCGCCCCAACGTCTTCGCCAGCAACAACCTCCTCCGCTGTCTCGCCCGCTCCGACTGCGACGCCGCTCGCGATGCCCTCCCCTTCTACGCCCACATGCGCCGCGCCGGGATCCCGACGAACAACTACACTTTCCCCTTCGTCCTCCAGGCGTGCAGCCGCGACCCAGTGTTCGTTGAAGGCACCCAGGTTCATAACCACGCGGTGAAGTGTGGGCTTGAGGAAGATTTGTACGTAAGGAACGCGTTCATAAGCTTCTACAGCTCGTGCGGTGAACTGAACCATGCAAGAAGAGTTTTTGATGAGTTTCCAGGGCAGCGGGATCTGGTTTCTTGGAATGCAATACTAGCCGGGTATGCTCGGGCGGGGGGGACGGATGTTGCACAGGAGCTGTTCGATAGAATGCCTGAGAGGGACCCAATTTCTTGGAGCACCATGATCATGGGCTACGTTCAAAGCGGAGCCTTGGAGAAGGGATTGGAGTTGTTCAGGGAGCTGGTCGGAAAGGGATTGACGGTAAATGAGGCTACTTTGGTGATCGTCCTCTCGGCATCGGCACAACTGGGACTGCTCGAGGTAGGCCAATTCATCCACTCCACCATTAGATCCATGGATTTCCCGTTCACTCTCGCTCTTGGCACAGCGTTGGTGGACATGTATGCAAAATGTGGGTGCATCGAGCTGTCAAGGCACACATTTGATGAGATGAAGCAAAGGAATGTGTTTGCTTGGAATGCTATGATTTGTGGATTGGCCACGCATGGATTAGGGAAGGAAACACTCGAGCTGTTTCAACGATTTCTAGGTGAAGGAATACGCCCCACAGGTGTGACCTTCGTCGGGGTTCTAAATGCATGCAGCCGTGCCGGTTTAGTTGCAGAAGGCCGTCGGTGTTTCAAGCTCATGATAGAAGAGTATGGTATTGAGCCAGAGATGGAACACTACGGTTGCATTGTGGATCTTTTGGGTCGTGCAGGTCTCGTGCATGAAGCTTATGAATTGATCCAAGGAATGAGCATGACACCTGATCCTGTACTGTGGGGAATTTTGTTGGGGGCGTGCAAAGTGCACGGATTGGTGGATTTGGGTGTGAGCATAGGGAACAAATTGATTGAGTTAGAACCAGAACACGATGGGCATTATGTTCTTCTTGCTGGTGTGTATGCCAAGGCAAATAGATGGGAGGATGTTGCCAAGGTCAGGCGATTGATGGCTCACCGAGGAACCAATAAGGTTGCTGGTTGGAGCTTGATGGAGGTCCATGGAACAGTGCATAAGTTCGTGGCAGGAGATAAGGAGCATAAAGACTCTGTAGAGATCCACAAGACACTGGAGATGGTCATTATGAGATTGACAGAAGCTGGTTATTCACCGGATGTGTCTGCTGTGCTGCATGATATCGGTGATGAGGAGAAGGTTCATGTGATGAAGGAGCACAGTGAAAGATTGGCCATTGCGTTTGGGTTGATGGTGGTGGAGAGAGGTCGTCCCATTCGCATTGTGAAGAACTTGAGGGTTTGTGGGGACTGTCATGAGTTCAGCAAGATGGTGACGAAGGTGTTTGGGAGGGAGATTGTGGTGAGGGATGGGAGTAGGTTTCATCATTTGAAGGAAGGCAAGTGTTCCTGCTTTGATTACTGGTGAGAGAGAGAGATAGAGAGAGGAATGGATGGGTGTCTAACATACTTTGATGAAGCTGATGTGCAATTTGATTCTCAGCATGTTAAGGTTATATCTCGAGTCTCTGTCGCATTGGTATTATTCCATGACCAAGTCAGTCAATATGAGCTCCTTTAAGATCGGAAGAAAGCATTGAGTTGAGGGTATCAGTTCTCTACAGAAACGATCCAATCTCCTGCACAAGTTGCCAATTGGGACATTATGCTTGGTTTGGATATAACCTCATGGAGGTCAAGAACATCTCCAAGTTGCTTCGCTGCCCCAACCAAAGATATGATCCAAAGATGATTTTTTATTCTTGAGTAAAGCTGAAGCCATGGAACCAATTGGATGGTGAGATCCACAGTTGGAACCTTAATAAAGATTTAGCAGAAATAGATAATCTTGTTCATCATGCAGCAGTAACATTTTATGATACAAACAGGTGAGGATATTCCAAACAAGTCCAATCTTTCTTTGCCTTTGTTGCTCCAAACAGAATAGATTTATGATGAAAGCACTAATGAAATGGAGGTGTCAAAAGATGAGTACTGATGTCTCCACACGAAACAATTGTTTCAGCTACTTCGAAAAATATGAGCACTGATCCAACTAATACATATTACACATTCCACGTAAAATACATGTTACGGTCACATCAACGAACAAAAACTACAATTTGATCACAATATAGAAATTTCCAAAAAATTTAGTCATGCTGATTAACTTCTGCTCACCTGAACAGGCAGCTACACTTTTCGTTTTCCCTGAGCTTCTTTCGTAGAAACCTGTTAAAAAAATTACTGTATATCATGAATTGTCCAAAGACAAAAGATTCTAACTTGCTGATATTTCTAGATGTCTATCGCAATCAACTAGAGGTAGTATATGATTTTGCATTCGCACACACATCAATAAGGTTACAAAATAAAAAAGATCAAATTCTTTAACAATCAGTTGTACAAAACTATACAATGCAGTCTGATATAATCAGTATGATCACCTGCATATTTCTCGCAGAAAACAAAATTAAGTTCACTTAATCGACTACAGTCAATTCTTATCTCTCATCAAGTATATCGAATGGCAGACAGAGAGAAAGAGAGAGAGAGAAGAGAGAGAGAGAGAGAGTTTATATTGAATTATTTACACGTATTGGTTCTAAATATACTTCTGCAGTCACATACAGAGTAAAACTATATCTGGTGCCACACAAATTAATGATCCAAAATGTGTAAGTCACTGAAAATATAGTCAAATAAACTGAAAGAAATAAGGTGCCAAATAGCTCCAGACTAATTATAGCAGAAAAAACTTCTCCAAAAAAAGACTACAACACACAAAAGAAACTACTAATATCTTGGTATGATTTCTCAAAGGAGAAACCTTTGTTACCTTTGTGAGTGTATAATCATTGAAAAAACAGCTATTGAACACTGAAATGATGATCGTTGCAAAGAATGCTTTGTGAGAACTAAGAACATACACCATGATACAGGACCCTCTTTCCTATACTTCTCATGTGAACAAGAAGCAAGAAGAGATTAGTTTCAAAGCATAAACAATCGGTGCTCTCATCCTTCTGAAAAGAAAACCAAAGAAATAGAATATTTCACTTACTCGCTATGAAGCTGACAGGTTCTGCCCAAGGCCTGTGTGATGTGCAGGTGAACTTGCTAAAGACTGTCCAGATTTTGTAATGGTTGGTGTTGGACCAGGAACTTGAGCATACTGAGAAACAGGTGAACGTGATACAGAAGCATCTTGAAGGAGAGACAGTGGAGATGCCGTTGGAGTTCGACGTGGAAACTGAGAGATAGATACATTTCCAGAGGATCTTGGTGATGACCTTCTTGTAGGTAACATGTTTATCTTGATCCTACAGAAGTAACCCACTGAATCCACGAAGGCAAACTATAAAAGAAAAGGAAGAAGAGAGAATTACAAACTTTCACGTACTTGTTGTGGACATCAACATACTCGTCTGTCTCATCCAATATCTCTTCCTACAAGAACAATTCAGAGGCAATTGTCAGCTGCGACATGTGAAATTTGAGACATGTAAACAAATCATAAAGTTAGCACGTGGAAAGTCATATGCCAACTCAGAAAAGGTTATTAAATATAGAGACCACTGCAAAGGATGGAAAGTGTCCAAATATAAACGACATGAAGTTGCACAATCATACAAGAAATTCTCCCTGGCTGTAGTGACATGCAGATATATTACCAAAATTGATGTCTACGCTAGTAGAACTCTCTCTCTCTCTCACTCTCTCTTTTCATGGTAAGATTAATGATGCAAACCTTTTATTATCTTCCATTATGCCAACTATGGAGAAAAATACTAGTTTTGCTCAAAGCATGGAAAAATGTTTAATCATCAATGGTAAAAGAATAAGTTGTATGATCCAACATTCACAAAGTGAAGTTGCAAACTACCCATCACAAACCATTTAAGTAACCGTAAGTTGTGTATAACATGATTGTTAGGTTATGTTAAATTATAATAACTGTCTTTGAGTTTGAATTGACAGCTTAGGTCCATGACATGGAGCTATGTGCAATTTAGAAATTACAATTTCATGATATAAGGTGAGATATAACTGGAAGAGGAAGTATCATCTGTTGTTTGTCAAAAATGTAAACACAGTATAAGACAAGAATAATTATCATGCATCAGAAAACATTTCTACACTATTTCCATAAGCAAGGTAAAATAGACTTATTTTATTAAGGCTTACATTACATGATCAATATATACCGCAAATATTGCAGAAAGCATGGCGAAAGATGGATCATCCTTAAAAAAGCTATTTACATACTAATAAGTACAACAAAGAAAGCATAATTCAATAATAAATAGAATAGGAATATATGCACTCAGCTTTTCAGGTAGTCGAGTAAAAATATTATGTATGACAGCTATGCATATCAACATATGGGCGATCAAGTAAAGCATAATATTAATGAGGGTTAGTCTAAAAAACTGTTCAGAAGTATATCAGCTAGATGATCTCCACCTGTAGCAATTCCTCCATAACATCTTCCATTGTTATAATTCCAACTACTTCTTCATCTAATGAATAACTTGGAAGCGAATCAGAATTAACATCAAGGATATTGTCATGTCGCCCTCGTTCAAATTTTTTGACCTGTGAGCGTGAATCTCCTTGTTTATCTATGTTGCTTCTCTTCACAGGACTGTGAAATCCCTGAATACTACTACTCACAGGGGACGCGTTGGTAATATTATTCAAATGCGCAGCCATAACTGACAGAGATCCATCTCCTGGAAAATCAAGAATCACTCCATATGCAAATCACAAGCTTTTGCCACAATATACAAGTGCTTTCACATATTAAGCTAGCGATTGTTTAATACTTCAGATGGAAATTGATTATTGAACAAACAATTAGAATAAGATGATGACATATATATACAAGCATCAAGCAATACCATGGGCTTCATAGTGGTTCCTACTCTGGTCCATTCTGTTATCTGAGGGACTGGTTTTGCTCTTTTCTGTTGTTAAGTCACTGTCTTTTATGCGTTTAACAACCACAGCCATGTGACTGTGGCCTTTCTGGAATTCATTCAGGATGTCATACAGAGGAAGGTCATCGTAGACCCTGGTAAAACCGAAGTGGTGTTAAAATCCTTTAAAAGCATGACTGGAATAAAGAATCCAGGAGCACGAAGAGAACTATATGTATATATACACATCAAGTTAAAACTATGTCCATATGTGAATATGAAATAGCAAACATTAAATGTATCAAAAAGAAATTTTATTTTGTAATCCATTTAAAATTAAGAGCTAATAAAATTAGAATGGTATTAATATTCATTAAAATGTTTAGGCACTACAGTGAATTCATGAAAAAATATTTAATCTATCTTATATACATAAATTTCTACTTTGCAACTTCTCTGACAAGTAATTGTTTTCCATTGAATATATTCAAGTCCAAATTTTTTATTTATTCTAGAAGTTGTTATGTCTAAATGTTTTATTTAATTTAAAAGTTAGATGTGATTGTGGGCTTTCTCTAGTATACAACAGAGGTCGTAAAATAAGTAAAAGGCCACCTGTAAGTCTAACTCCAGTAACATATAATTCCATTGCGTCAGTCCTTGGTTTCCCCATTTATAGCAAGAATGTTTTTCATCAGATAATTCCAGCATAATGTCAGAGGTCAACAAGATGAGACAATATCAACTGGTGCCACCCTTGCTGTATTTTAAAAACTACTTCGATGGGTCCTTGAGTGAAATTGATGCTGTATTTCGCAACCTACTTTGGTATGCCATTGGGTTAAATCCATTAATACCAAAATGGACTCTGTTATGGAACCTTTTGCACAATGACCTAGTAAAAGAGGTCCAGGTGTGTTTTTGCTTTCCTTTTTTTTTCTTAAAGAGGTCCAGGTGTTACCACCTTGCAACATGCAACTAACAGTTATTTTGTTGTATCATAAAAGCAATTGATATCTTGATCCTACATCTTCTATAAAGAATCCTCCAAAAAATCAAAATGATGTGCATAATCAAAACAAATTTGTTTACTGTACTGTATAAGAAAAATATTGTTTATTGTTACAAGTGATGACGGCATAGTGTCTCAATATCCAGGTGGAAGTTGTTCCTTTAATATCCATGTGATCGAAATGTTCAAGTCATGGAAACAGTCACTCTGATTATAGGGATAAAGATGAATAAAATGACCCTCCCAACATGCCAAATTGGCGCAACCTCATGCACTACATACTTCGATAGTCCCCTTTTTTCTAATTTTAATGGCATTAGCATGGCTTAGCATACATGCTTATTCTCTAATTGTAGTTTTTTGAAACTTTACATCATCTCTTAGACTCTGCTAGCCCCTTCTGCAGAAGAGCGAGGATGTCTAGAGTTGTTTATTGAGGAAACAACCATGTATTATAGCGTTGTACATCTCAATAAAATCAGAACTACAACTGTTGATATATCATATCTGAAATACCAAATATCATACCTTTTTCTAAGCATGAGATTCTTAATATGTTCCAATTTTATACCTATTCAGATTTTAACAAAATGATGAATAATTAGTCCTTTATAACTGTCACATGCAAAAGAAAGAACCACAAATAATTTTAAACAGAAATGGAATATGATGTTATAGGATGCTCTTCATACCAGTAACAAATGGTATATTGCAACACCTCCTTATAAAAAAGGATAAGCATATAATCGCTCACAACAAAAATTTATTATTTCCTCAGCTTATTATTACTTCGCAATGACACAGTTCTGTTTTTTTTACTGACACATTTAGAATATAAACATCAAAGGTTACCTTTCAATTGTTAACAATGATTATGATATGTTTAACAGTATTGTTAGGTTAACTTCACATTGCTGCTTACTTGTTTATATGTAGAACATGAGCGATGAAAGCCAGTTAGGTGGCATCCGGTTTCATTAAGCCACGTCACATCAGAATACATCAATACATCTATGCTATACTTCTTCAAGACATAAGTCAGGTCATACCTTGGTATCCTTCTTATGGTAACATTTCTTATAGGAACTTCATCTTCAGGGCGGCAAGTGATCAAATTCTTAACCTGAGAATTAATCAAGATTTTGTAAATATGAGAGTCCTGAGCATGTTATAAACAATAAAAGATAGATATTACAGATTTTGACAATATCTACATTACAGTAAACAAGAAAATTTCAGATTATTTTTCATTACTTTCAACTTATCATCTCATTTATCTCCTTCCTAAATACAAAAGTTAGCTTCCCTTCCGACCTCTGACGTCTGACCTCTGACATATATGTATAGGAACTAGGAAGAATTAAAATAATGTATAATATGCAAACAGGATACTCAAACAATAAGCAAGGGACCAAGATGTTGCAGTTATTTACTGTACACTGTCGCCCATTACTAATCTGGGATGAATGACGGACTTCAGTCTTCAATGGTTAGTTTCTTTTAGAGGAATAGGAATGTCTTTTTATGGCAATGGTCTTTATTCGAAAGATTTGCTCCCCAGTAGAATAGTAGACCTACTTTGATTCAAAAGCACTATGATGATAATAAGTCTAATTATTCTGTATGGACAATCTTCTTAATCACTTATCATGAAATATAACTAAAAAGAAATGACTAACATTATTATTACCCTATGTTAAATTTACACTTTTCACCGGAACACAAGTAGAGGTAGTGTTTAGTACAAATCTTTTGCTGAATGACTGCTGTACATGAAGTCCTTTCACATTAAAGTTTGAGAGTGATTATGAACATTTTAAATCCTGAGCACTAAATGACATTAGAAATTATCTGACTTACTAACCAAAATAAGGCCTATAATGTTTGTTGGGCTGCCAGAGTAGATTGGTACACGGCTATGTCCTTTACTCATGATTAAACCGAGAGTGTACCTGAAAAAGAAACAGAATTAACATCATGAACTGTCAATACCTTGTTAATTAATAAAACCACATACATGTCAAGTTTAGAGTTAATATCAAGCGAAAAGGTCTCTGATATTGTTGTCATTGAATCTTGTGCAGTCTTTTGAGTCAACTCCAAAGCTCCAGCAATAATAGTAGTCTCATCATGAGTCAATTCCCCACCCTTTCCTGCCTAAGAACCAAAGAGACAATTACATGTTTGCACAAAAAAACTTGCTTAACAGAATCATAGTTCAGCAACTAGACCAATCTATTATGACACCACTACCTGATAACTATCCAGAAACTCTGATCTAGAGGAGGCTCAATATGTCACAGTGAGATCATATTCTTACAGCATCAAATACGAAACTCAAATCGGATGAATTGATCAAATCTTTTCATGCTTGTAGGAAGATGTTAGTGGAACTAGCACTATGTATAACAAAATAAGAAAAAGAGATTCTCCAAGAAATTTTTTTCTCCAATTATTTTCTATTGCAATGTTTTGTCTTTTCAAGATCACCATCACCATGTTATGGCTACACTTTAAATAGTGATTCTGAGCATCATACAAATTTTACAGAAACCTGCATCAAGCGTTTCACCAAGGTTTCTGATCCTAAACAAGATGTCATATCACACAAAAACAAAGTATAATTTTAGAATGTAACCACGTCCTATCCTTTTCAGCCAAACCTCACTCATCACAAAGCAATGACAAATGATATGGTCTAAATGTAACAAAATAGCATGCCATCCATATATTTTCACTGAATCACCTATATATGGATATGGATCAAAAAGAGTATAACAACATGCAAGTACATGTTTAAAAAGTTGCGTAGTCGATAGCACATTGGAGATCAGATCCTTTAATAAACTAATAAGCACAAATTATGTGACTTACAAAAAAACTCTTGATAATGCATTGAATTTTCTTTCATATTTTTTGTATTTCATAAATATCATATTTTCACTATATGAAGGAGAGCAAATAACCTTGGTTTTGGGTTCACAAATTATTTTAGCACATTAAAAACAAAGCAATTCATGCTAGTCACAGACTATTAAAAAAAATAGAAGGCCCATAGCATAATTAATGCATCTATACGTTAGAAACTCTGTCAGTTCAAATGCCCAAAGATATTGTAGCTTTAGACAGTCGGTATACTAGTATCAAAGCACTTTAATCAAAGAACTTTGTAAATACTGATTAATAAGCAACATAAGGCAAACCTCATTTCCGTGCATATCCACCAGTGTCTTCAGTTCGGCTCTTCTCATAAGTGCAACATGTCCCTTGCCCAGTAGCCAGTCCAGCAACTATGCAAAGCATATTTTTGAACGGAATATAAACTAAAGTAGCTCTATGTATATCGCATTATAGTAAAGATAAGAGAGAGAAGACAGCTTCTGCCTTTTGTTTTCGTTGGAAGAAGTTGAAAAAAAAAATCTAATGGGTATAAACAAGTGAAGAAGCAAGTAGTGATTACCTTGCTAATGGGATAAGCCACTGGAAAGAAGATCAAAAGAAGCAGACGAACCACTCCGGCAGTTTTAGCTCCCACGCTCAGCCCATACCGCGAACATACAGCTTGAGGAATTATCTTAGAGAAACCAAACACGCACACAACAAAATTAACTTGTGTCTCGCCAGTGATCTTGTAGTTAAATTTATAACTGAAAGGGAAAAAGGAACTCGACTTTACTGGAAGTCACAGGAAATTACCTCGCCGAAGGTCAGGATTAGGGTTACGGATATTAGGATGGCCCCCCACGCCGGAACGAGCGAATCAAGAAATATGGGAAGCGCCTAAACGTAGATGGCATGAGAAGCAATCAGCAAGACCAAGAAACCAAATTTAGCGCACAGTGAGAGAAAGTGAGCCGGGGGAGGAAAGACAGCTGAGACCTCCATGGCGAGCGAGTTGCCGATGAGCAGGGTGCAGAGGAGGAGGTGCTGATTCTTGACCACGGGCAGAATCTTGGCTGCGGACAGAGAAGAAGAAGAAGAAGAAGCACAACAGGGCGGTGAGTGTGACGGAGGAGAAAAAGGGGAGACAGGGCAGAGAGAGGAGACGGGGGTAGCAGACCGGCGTGAAGCTGGTCCTTGGGCTTGCCGGCCTTGACGAGGACCTCGAGGTCGACGAGGCTGAGGGACATGAGGCCGAGGGTGAGGCCGGACATGAGGCCGGCGAACAAGACCAGGCCGACGCTGATGATGAGGTACACCCAGAACATCGCCTCGCAGCACCGCTCCTCGCTCCCCCCCGCCATCCTCGCCTCCTCCTCCTCCTCTGCCGCCCCGACCACCCTTTTCCCCCCCCTCTCTCTCTCTCTCTTTCTTTCTCAACCCAGCAATTAACGAGGGGAAAGCTTCGCTTTACGTATCGAGATTGAAGAGAGGAGAGGAGAGAGAAGCGACCCGAAGGAAAGGGAAGGGGAAAAGAAAGGAGGCAGTTCGGGGTTTGTGGATCTTTCTTGGCTTTCAAGTCCCAAAAACACAGTAAGAAATGGAGGAGACGAGACGAGCAGACAAATCCCCATCATACAGCGCGAGCGTTTTAGGGATTTTGCCGGCGTCAGCGTGTGGGACCCACGGTAAAATAATCTGACATGTAATAATGTATATATCATTATATTCAAATTAGTAACTGAATAAATGGGTAGGGGAGGTGTATATGTGGAGGATTTTAAAATTGCGAAAAGTATATATAAATACATATATATTATATATATAATGACAAATATATTATTTTAAAATAAATTTAATCACAGCTTTTTTTGTTAAAATACGTGATTTCGAGATGGTTTTAAGGTGCGTGTTTTGGGGTGGCGATATTTTTCCAAACCCACCCGAATCTTACCCGTCACGACTGTTGCGTCATGTGATTGGTGAGTACAAGATGGCCCTACGTCGGGCCCACCAAAATAGGTGCCGTGTGCCATTATAAATAGGGAAAAAGGAAGAAAAAAATAATTAGAAAACTTAATTCTTGATTTGATGGATGTACTATCACTCCTGAGAGGTATTCTAATAGTTATAAGTGGTTGATGGAAGCAATAACTGGGAAAGAAATTACATGTAAGAGAAAGCATAAATCATAGGAAAATTACAGTCTCTCTAAAAGATGATGATGATGTTGGAATAGCACTTGCGCCAGTTGCGCTGCAGCTGCAATTTGCCTCGTGGCCTGGTTTGGAGAGTGTCAGAGACAAAGGAATAGGAAGGAAGAGAGAGAGATAGATCAAAAGAGATGAAAATTTAGAAGTTTGTGATGAAAATAGATAAAGAGAGAGAGAGAGAGAGAGAGAGAGAGAGAGAGTCTATTAAGGATTGAAGATGTTAAAATACATTTACTAGGTTTTGCCTTTAAATTTAGAAGCTTAACTATTAAGGATTCAAGATGTTAAATTACATATGCTATGTTTGTCTTTAAATTTACAAGCTTAAGTTTTTAATTGCAGTTAGTGTCATTCCATTTTTGATGACTTTGGGTTAATAAATTTTGATATAAATGAGTTAAAATTTTAAATATAATTAAATTACAATTTGATTGACTTACAGTAAACAGGAATAAGTATGTAAATTTGATCTTTCAAATCATAATCTAATTAAAGATAAGTCGAGCTAAAACCAAAATTGAATGGACCCGATAATCCATTACTTTCAAATCAAAACAAATTATGAGTCGATTATTCGATTAAAATAAATTATGATAGAAAATATTAGGATGATGCTACACTAATATCTCTTAAAGGTATGATATGAAATCACCAGGAAAATACAAGGCATACTAGTCCTGATCAATTGGTTGACATTTTGGCTGAGGGAAGATGGGGAGTCTACTTGGCAGAAGGCACAATGAAGTTTCCTCCATAACCTTTTCTCTTCTTCAGGAAGATGGTTCCCATTTGGAATTAGCTGTTCTCAGGGTTCAGACACAATGCAATATTTTGGAATTGCTCTTAGTAATTTTTACTATGTTGTAAATTCCTTTTTGGCAGAAATGTGTTATTTGTGCCCAGTCATGCCTATGCTGTGTGTATCAGAAAATAGGCTCCATATGAGGGATTGTGTAAAAGATAATATAAGTCAGTGAACAAGCCATGTCAAACTCACTCTTTTCTTGAACTAAGATGTATCATAAACATGATTTTGATTGTACTAATTTAGTATGGTTGATGCAGGTCAAGACACCCACCTTGTGACTTTTGAAGGACATTAGTCTTTACTTTTCTTTGTCTTCAAAGGAAGAGAAGCAAAACTGAGACTGGTATTCTCTGGATGGGAGGAGAGAGACCCTCTCTCTTGTCACTGATTCTAGGGATGATGGGTTTTAGGAAAGAGGAGTTCTTGGAAGGCTGGTGCAGGTGGCAAATCCAGGACCCACTGCACTGCCATTGGTTTCATGTCCCACACCAGTTGATGATTGCAGACCTTTTGTGCAATGCTTGAGCTTTTCTTGTGGCTAAGAGACCAATTGGCATACCAAAACCAGCACCAGTATCTCCATTAATTGTTTCTAGGATTTGTGCCAGGTCTTTGTCCCTATCCAACTCTGTTCTACTTCCTCATGGCTACAGGAATGAGATGCCCAGTAAGGTCTTAATCCCACACCATCTCAATTCCAAAAACAAAAGTCTACAATTACAGCAAGGTGGAAATTTTGGATACTTGTATGAAAGAAAGTCAAACTGTGTCAATCCTTTGTTCTTTCTTTCATTCATTTATGCTGCTCAATTTTGTATTTTGAACAAGATATTTTAGTTTGATACCATTGAACCAACCATGTTCTATTGGAACAAACAGATACAAGATACAAATTGTAAGATTTCTGATGTTTGAGGAAGCATTTCTTGAAAGTAATGGGGAAATTTTACATCAGTAGAAAAAGGTGAAGATTTTTCTACTTCTTTGGAGGCTATTACTTTTTTTCCACAAGAGGGAAGGGTTTACAGGAGAGGTTCACACGGCACTGTGCATATGATTCACCAATATCGGAGCAGAGAGGATAAGCAGTGTAATCCTCAAGAAGATGACTTGCGATTGGACATATTAGATACACGACCAACAATATAAAACATTGTAAAGTTGACTGGCACACACAAAGAACAGGAAATCAAACCCACATGTAAAACTTGATCACTTCATCATTGAGCCAAAGCAAAGTGATACAAGGACTCTCTCTCTCTCTCTCTCTCTCTCTCTCTCTCTCTCTCTCTC